AAGCTTCTTCATAACCCTCCTTATTAATAGGACAAATATATACATGACACAAAGTCCCATCTGACAGTACAAAGTTACTAAATGTTTTTTTTTTTTTTTTTTTTTTTAACAAACTGGCCTTAGCTGCTGGATTACACTCAATAATCATTTGCACAGCACTAGGCTACCACATATCCAGTTGTTGTTGTCCCAGGGGTTTCTGGGATATGGAGTCACTGAAGCACACAGTCTTGCCTGACAATCAAAGTGAAAAGTCATGCCAAGGTGCAGAAAGGGGAGTGCCCATATCCGGAGGGAGTTGATGCACTACATCACTGAGCGGCAGCCACTGTACTCAAAAGCTATTAAGCACGAGTCATTCTATTTTCACCCCTCCCATGTTTCCCTTTCAAGGGTCCCTCTGGTCAAAAGCAGGTACAAATGGCTGTTTGCTGTACAATTCCCACAACATGTTTGTATCAGCTGCTGCCTTCGCTAACAGCATGTAAAACAAAAAGAGACAGGCCACTCATTCACAAATGGTTCCAACTGAGATGAAACATTGTAAAGTAAAGACATGGGAGTGCCATTAGAATATCTTTCCCCCTCCATTTGTGACTCTTACACTTTTTTTACAGTTGGATATATACATTTCTCAATATATGTATATATGTGTATGTGTGTGTGTGTGTGTGTGTGTATATATATATATATATAGCATTATATATAGCATATATATATATATATATAAAGGGTTCAGATGACAATGCTGATAAACGCCGCTTCCACCAAAAATAAGATAATAGTATTCAGTAAATGCTTTAGGCATGTACTACACCACCAACAAATAAATTTGCTACAAACACCTAAATCCCAGCGTCAGCACAAAACAGTTTGTTTGCAAAAGCAGCTAAATGCCACCTGCATTCGACAGCAAAAGTCGCTATATCCCGAGAACTAATCAGAAGCACGTATCGAATCATATGTTTTCAATGTAGCCATGTGCTGATACGCCGGCTTTTATGAGGAGACATATTTTTTTCGATTTCAACTTCGAGACTGTCCAACTGTTAGTGAATGGCAAATGAAAATGTCCCTTACCTCAAAGCTCTGTGCGTTATAATAAAAGTAACAAAAACAATGTGCAGTCGGAAGTGTATAGCATCCATTCATAACGTGTTTTTGTGCAGCAACGCTACAACACGTGGATGCTACGAGGATAAACACGGAACCAAGACCTATTGTGAGAATGATAGAATGAATCCCCTTACATTGTGTTTTATTTGCTAACTTGCACAATTTTTAAAAGATAAATATTATAATGTATAAAACAATTAATTATTTGTATTACTTCATAATACCTATACATCTGATAAGCTTTTTATATTAATGGACAATGCACAGATATTGATTTTTCACTATGTTTTAAATAATTACATTATTTGAATCTACAAAACTTAGTTTACAGTGTTTACATTAAATATACTTACATTAAATCTAAATCCCCAAAATCAATTGTTAAGATTTAATTAATGTCTAAAAGACAATTTACCTTGTTAAAAAACAAAGAATTGTCTAAAGTGACATTTTTTAAAAAAGCGTATTTTATTCACTAGCTAATAACCTTTTCATTACATATAAAATTAAACTTCTAAACCTTATCAGAGGAGCCTGATAGAAAACGCTCATTTACAATGTACATATATGTGGACAATGAAAAAAAAATGCCTGGTTTAAACCACAATAAGGTGTTGGACTAAGGTCCAATAATGTGTTGAATATGGTGTTGGACCACCTTTTGCAGCCAATGCAGCATCAGTTACTCTTGGGAATGACAGATACAATACCTGCACAGTGCCCATATAGATTTTGAACCATACTTCTTGCAGAATAATGGCCAGTTGTGATGCTGGTGGATGAAAACATTTTACAATAATACATAGATCTGGTGACTATGCAGGCCTATTGGAGATGTTCAACATCACTTTCATGTTCAATAAACTACTCTGTCACCAGTCTTGCTGTTTGTATTGGTGAATTATCAGCCGGATACATGGCACTATACCTTCAGGATGCAATATTTGATCCATTGGGTGCACATGGTTCTTTAGAATAGTTGGTGGTCCTTGGCAGTGACGCGCCTACCTACCACATGTATCGGGCCTAGGAAATGCCATGATATTGCAGCCCAAACCATCACTGATCTGTCCCCATGCTTCACCCACGCTTCTTTGGAGCTTCTGTATACTGTAACTCTCCCTAACATGGGAGAGACAGTAAAAGATAGACTCATCAGAGAACAATAAATGTTTCAGATTGTCAAGATTTTCACTGCTGGCATCATTGAAACTGATGTTTGTCATTGGCACAAATGAGCAAAGGTTTGGCTCTAGCAGCCCAGCCATGAATATGGACCAAGTGGAGATCCCGACTAACAGTTTTGGTGGAAACAGGAGAGTTGAGTTGTGCGTTTAATTCTGCAGTGAGTTAGGCAGCTAGGACCCAGACATCCCTTTCAGACAGCTTTCTCTTGCGTCCACATGCACTTTTCCATTCCAAAAATGCAAGGCGCACCTCGCTGCCTTTTTTGATGACAAGCTGTGTAATGTGCAGGTGTTGCTGTTGATATTAATATAATTTCGACATATTATAATTTTGTGAAATTCAAGATTTTTGAGTCATACAGCACTAGATAATTCAAAACAGCAACCACAAGTCTCTCCCCATCTTCATAATTGTCCGTAGTTGTCTTGACAACACAAACACTGCTGACACCTCAACAGAAACCCCGCCTCTTTCATTTGATTGGAGAATAAATAAGACATGATAGACGTAACGTGCCTTTAGTTTACTTTTCTCAACTGCGGTTAAAACGTGAGCAAAGGGCACATAAGCAGCATGCAAAACACTCACAGCCATTGTTAAATTCTTAAAACAGGTGCCTCTCAATGCGAAAAAGGCGCATTCGCTGTGATCGACCCCTTACTTCTGATGAATGGTTCTTTCTTGGTGGATACTGTGGCTCTTGATACATCAAAAGACTTGCTGTCTTAGTGACAGATGCACCAGAGGGTAGAATAGGTATGCTGGAAGTCTTTTTAGAAGCTAAATTTAAACTTCCAGTAGACCTATAACATAACTTATAAAATAGTTTTTTTTCTGTCTAAAGGCTGAATTATACTTCTGTGTCGAGTGATCACTGAACCCATAATTGCCATGCCTTGCACATAGTCCTGTATTTATACTTCTGTGTTTTGTTTGTTTTGCTCTGAATTACTGTTCCGAAACTCTAGCTGGCAGTGGGGTTCCCAGTCACAGTGCTTGCTCCAAGCGTCTTTGCTATGTGTGATTACAATTTTTTAGAGGTGCAGGTCAGGCTCTGCATCGGACCATTTGTGTTCAAGCAGAAATATAAATCAACCTTAAGGTGTCAAAAACGTGACTTTTTTAAACTCTAATATTAGTCTCAGACTCATTTGATAAGGATGTCATCCATATGGCTGAAAGAGAGAAAGACTGTGTGATCATCAAGATGTCAGGGTTGCTAACTGTCACCAGCTGGGTAGAAGACTGAATGCTCCTCCTCACAATAGAGGAGGTCTTTCTCACACCTTGGCCTGTCTGTCAGGATAACAGTGCCTCTGTGTCTCTGTGGCATTTTGAATCAGAGACATATTTCTCACCTCTAATTAGTGTGCAAAGCTCCTTGGGGCAATCAGCACAAGGTTAATTGGAGCCAGCCGGAAACACCCTGGCGAGAAGCAGTGTAGTGCTGTCTCTCATCATTGACTGTCACCCAAAGGGAGCTCCCCTGAGCACTGCACACACCAAAGCCTCCCTTATCTCTCATAATAAAAGATAAGAGAGACACAACAACGTACAACATATCACCTCTTTCTCTCTTTATCTCCTCCTTCATCTTTTTCAGCTTCAGTCATATGTTCAATATATGAATTTGATCATAACATGACCCTAAATGTCCAATAATACAAATATAAGATATTATTAAATATTTGCCATATTGCCTAAATCTCAGTTTAACATCATCTAAACAAGGCTATGGTCTGAGCAAAAACTGCAGACAGTCTCCATGAAAATCTAGATTCATATTTTAACACAAAACAAAAATTGCTGCAGGATGTGATATGTTGTTAACTTTGCTTAACGATGGAACAAATTTTCTGTTCAAAAGTAGTTTTTTCGTTAATGTAATTGAATATTCAAAATTATCTAAATTGGCAGTTAAATCAGTATAACAGTAAAACAATCTTGTGATATTTGGTTTATCACCAGCTTGCCACCTGCTTCATTTCTACTTCTAGAGGGAGTTTGGTGACCCCTAAATAACTCTTCTAAATCCCAAGTTGGAAACCACTGCTTTAGAGGGATCCTTACCTTACCTCTCTTTAACAGAACTACAAATTAATAGACCTAAAATAAAGAATTGCTCCCTCAAGGACCATACCTGCATTTTTCTTAATGTTGCACCTCACTACCATAAATGATCATTATAGTGTTGGTACAGTTAAAAATTCACTGAGTAAGTTCTGACTAATTTAATTGCCCTTCATAGCGAGTGAGGAGGAGGACCCAGCAGTGCTCCTCAGTAAATTAGTTCCAAATCTGAATGTCTCTGTGATTCTGATGAGTACCCAGTGATCGTAGCTCTCGACATAACGTCGGCCCCATGCAAATTTTCAGGAACATTTATCCCAGAATTGGCTTTTGTCAGTCTGTATACCCTTGGTCCTTGGATTGCTTGGTTCAACCTCAACCCCTCAAACACAGGACTCAGCAACAGTCCCTTATAATAGTATCAGCTCCACCATGACACCAAGACCATGAAAGATGCCTCATCCTACAATCTCTGCCTGGGTTTCCATGGCTGAAGTCTGAGGACTTTTAAAACGACATTTGGTCCCTCTAATCCTTCAACTCTTGTTTTTGATTGCTTGGTTCTCAGCTCTTCTACATGTCTGTTATTCAGTGCCCTAGCATATGGTTATAGTTTTGTTGTTGCATAAATAAAAATCTGTGATTGTGAAGTAAAATCTTTAGACTACAATTGAAAGTAAACAATGTTTCAATAAAAAAAAAAACAATTAACAGTATGTTTACTTGCAATATACAATTAATAACTATATATGTCACTAATGATGTAAATAGTGAACAGTGAAATACTGTTAAATCTACTGTTTTTTAGAAATGAAAGAAATAGATCTGTTAATAAAAGAGACATTTAAGTTAAATTCCTAAGAAGTAGCTGCCATATTTCTTACTATTAAAATATATACTTAATATGTCCACCTCAAATATGTGTAAAAAATACAATTTTAATGTTATTAAACTTAAATGTAAATAATATACAGTACTTTCTCTAAATGTCACCGTGTAAAGTGAATGGTATACTGAAACAATATGTTTGTAAGCACTTATATCCAACCAAACATATTTTAGTCTCTATATATTTATATCATTTTTATTTTTATGTAACACTATACATCTGAGCAGAACACTCACATCGAGCAGTTATTTCTACCAAACTTTTGAAAACTATTGACAACCCCAGCTCATGGGTTACATTTTGGGGAAAAAATGTATGTCCCAACTTTAAACCAGTAGGTGTATTTGTCCATAATTTAACCAAATTATGGTTGAAGCATTCTCAGCATAAATGTTCTCAAAAGTACACTGCTAAAATTTCCAAAATCAAAGGCCATCTGTAGATTGAACACAGCATTCACAAACCCCTCTGTCTCACTCTCTTTCTCTTTCTCTCTCTTTTTTTTATTTATTTTTTGTTACTCAACCACCTGTTATGGCAATGATCTATACCAGTAAGTTAAAAATACCTCTTTCACATCTAGGCCCTGTTGTTGTCACTCTGTTAATAGATAACATTCACACTTTCACACATTAACACTTTACAGACAAGCACACGTTCCACTCTGTCCTTGCGTGTGCAGCCTGATTGGTGGCCCATGCCTGACACGCGACTTTGGTTTACAACTAATAAGCATAGTCCCACTAGGGGCTAGGCAGAGGACCTTTTTGCTTTAATCTCTAAATCATGTGAGGGGAAGGACATTCCTTGGAGGAGATGGAGCGCAGCCTGGCATAATATCTTGGAGATTCTCTTGATAAGAGCAGTACATGCAATTTCTAAAACAACCAAATATCTAAAACCTATAGAGAGTTTATCTTTAATTCTGCTCTCTAACTGCATTTGCTATTTTGTACATTCAGTTAAATCAACGATATTTAGAGATATTTAAATAATTATTTTAGCAGATAACACTTGCAGTCTTATTTTCTCCCCCTAGAGTGTGCTTTAGAGCTGTTTGTTCCCGTTTTCACTTGTATGCCTATTTAAAATCTTGTACTAAATCCTTAATAGAAAACATAACAGAAAGTTATTTGGATAATCAATAAAACGGAGAAGCAGCTTTGTGTCATGCGTGTGCATGTGCACAGTTGTGGGTGCATGTGAGCACATATCCCCTCACTATAGCAAGATCATTGATTTTTGAAAATGTTTAACAGCACAACATTATGGATAAGGACAGTATAAACAGTATAAAAATCAATATGATAATATTAAATAGACATAAACTAAATTCTATAGGTGCATTTCAAACTGCAAACAGGCTCGTAGCCAGGGGGTTTTGGGTTTTTGTCTACTGACAAAGTATTTATCCCATACATGAGCTCATTTGTCCTATTTTGACTGCCATCATAAATTATCAAAATAACCCATTGAAAAGGGCTACAAGACCAAGTGGAATCTGATGCTAGTAAAATCAACTTTCACATTTTAAGTTGAGAAAACATTTTACAAGTAACTTTTACTGTAAAACTTAGACCTTAATCATTAAAGAAAAAAAAAAACAATATAATGTTGTGAAGCAGCAAAGGTGGCCTATAATGTTACTTATAATACGTATTAGGCTATTGTTGTTATCTATGAATTTTTAAATGTACTTTTTTATGAGAGGCTAGAAAAATCATGAAGCTCTATGTTATTATAATTATTTTTTTTTATTAATATTTAAATGCCCACATTCTGACTAAGGAAATTTGAATGTGCTGGCTCATTTGTTATTTTTCTAATAACTAATAATAGGCTACAGTTTTTTAAAATTTAAAACTTTAACAGATTTAAAATTTTTACCCCCTAGTGATATGTGATGTAATGAATATCTATTTCAAATATAAGTAGCCTATTTTTCACATTATTTTGTCATTAAAATTTCTTTTATAATCTTTTTTTATCTAAATAATTTATATATATATATATATATATATATATATATATATATATATATATATATATATATATATATACATACATACATACAAATATATCATTTTTTACAAGATTAAGATATCTCTTCACCAGTCTTGTATTGTACGATACAGCAGTGAGAATGACATTGTCAAAAACCATAGCCTCTTTGATTAAAACCGTGTTGATTGATTAAGCATTTTATTTTCTTAGTCCATAGTATTAAGCCAATAAGGTTGGCAGCTAGAAGACATGTAACAGTACACTGACAAATGTTACACCTAAACCAACTGTTAATAATAATTCTGCCTTGTAAAGTGAATAAGTTAAGCTGACTGAGAAACAGACGATAAAATATTTACATGTGTGAGGAAATCATCTATTTATACCATTAGGTTGTGAAGATAAAACAAAATTACACTTTGCTCTTATTGCTTCATTCATTCATTCATTCATTCATTCATTCATTCATTCATTCATTCATTCATTCATTCATTCATTCATTTGCATTGATCCACTGTTTACAGAGGATTAGCCTTCATGTAACCTTACCTAACTAACTTATGAACTAATAAAATAATAAATGAATGAATGAATGAATAAATAAATAAATAAATAAATAAATAAATAAATAAATAAATAAATAAATAAATAAATAAATAAATAAATAAATAAATAAATAAATAAACAAACAAATAAATATCAGAGTATTGTGCTTCATGGCACATCTCACAAATTTAAATGAGTTGATTCCAATTTGTCGTCTCATTTAATAGTAACTTAGTAACTGTTGGCGTAACTAAGCTGCTTAAGTTAACTCTTACACTTTTATCACCTGGGGATTGAGCTCAATAGATTTTTACATCTATAATATTATATAATAAAACCTTAATGGTCAGCTCTCATACCCAAGTGATTTGTTTATTGAGCTTCTTTTCTTTTTTTTTAAATGGCTAGGCAAATAAGCAAAACTACAGTACAATGCTAAGTTCCATACAATACAAAGGATTAAGGAAGTAGTTCATTCAAACCATTCACCATTATTCTGAGCTTTACAGAAGTCAGTCAAATTTGCATTTTCAATTTTAATTTTTAATTATCTCAACTATAGCAATAACATATTATTATTTATGTCATACATTTATACATTTGAGAGTTTTCCTGTTGTCATTGACGTGTAAACAACATAGAGGTCTACAATATCAAAGCTATCCCTGTTTACAACAAAGCCGATAGTATGATTTGAAATCCAACCCCTCAACACCTCCCACCCCACCCCACCCCACCCCACCCCACACACTTTTATTTTGTACTTAACAGTGAAGAGTTTTTTGTATCTCGGGCTGATGGGTCTGTGACAGACCCCCGCCAAGCTGCTGACCAATCAATAACTAGTCCTACCCAGCAACTTTAAGAAAAGATGTCTGAATTCCCACTATCCTTAATGTTGCTGACCCTGAAGAAAATTCAATTTTCCCTCCTATCAACAATGACAGTCTTCCCCACCAGCCATTTCCTTCTGTGCTAAATACAAGCACAAAGTTGTTTGAACATAGAGGGTGGGGGTTGAGGGGCATACTAACAACTATGTGAGTAAAACAAAATTTAAAATGCTAATACAACATGTTACAATCACATTTGATCAGAAGTGAATTTCACCATTAGCCTGACTAAAATTAGCTACAGCATCCTGAAAGTCGCATCCCATCTCATATGCCACTGACACATGTAGTATGTGATGCTAAAGTTGCACCAGGCCCAGTAAAAAATTTTGGAAAACATTTTTTTTGCAGAGCAAGTCTGAACTCGAACACTGAAAGTGTAAGGCTATTACTTTGTATATTACTTAATGCAAACTTATCCATTAAATCAACATTGTTTCTTGTGAAAAATAAATAAATAAACAAATAAATAAATAAAAAGGTTATGTTATTGTATATAAGGTTATTGTATTCAAACGCAAAAAGAATTTATAATGATTTCTGCTCCCATCTTGGTTATAATTGGGAAATAATTTATCATACGAAGATTAAATCAACTGTTTGTATTGTTTTCAGCAAGTTCTGACCATACTATCATCAGTAAAAGGGAAAGTACACTCACCAAAAAATAAATAAATAAATAAATAAATAAATAAATAAATAAATAAGATGTCTTCATTCACTCAAATACCATTTTAAAACTGTATTTTATTTTACCTGTATTATTTAAAAAAATGGTTACCCAAAGATTTTACAAACAAAATTTTTTTTCAGCAAAAAATAAAAATGCCATGCAGGTTTGAAAGCATAAGTAGCATTCGACAGAATAATTGAACAGAGCAAATGTTCAGATATTACAGTAGATGGCACAATGTCCTTTAAACACTGGAGAAAGTGGGCTACTTTGTGCAGCTCGTTTAACATACCAGTCACTGTGACTGTTTCATAGGCAACAAAGCTTGACATTCTCCCAAAAGACATTAATAAAGCCAACTTCTGATTTTCCTATAGACAAAAACTATAATATTAAACTATTTAATCCAGCCACCAAATCTCTGTTAATTTACAGCACTTGTCATTTTTAGTGACTTTTAGTCATTTAGTCATTTTTTAGTATCTAAAAGCAAATGTGACATCATAAAATGCTTCCCTGAAGAGAAGTCAACCATACTTTACTGTAACCAGAAGTAGGCCACAAACACATTAATGCACTTGATCAGTCGTGCTTAGTGTTTCATTTCAAATACAAAGCCTTTCAGTGAAAGTGGTGGAGCTTTATTGTGATAGCTTTAGCTCTGTATTGATGATACGTGGTTGCAGAGAGGGTCCCCCAAGATTCAAGATGCAGAAAGCCTGAAGTTGCGCCATTGACATTACATTCATTGAGTGGATTTACTGTGAACAAACTCTAAAAACCTTTTCACTTCAGCATGCAGAATTAATAAAAAAAAATGCCTTGTGCACAATATTATCTTGTCATCACACAAAAAACTTTCTGTTTCTAAGTAACAAATAAGTAATGAGTGGACAAATAGAGCTGTGCGATATAAGAAGAAGAGTGAAACACTGAAGTAAAAAAAGATGCTGTGATAGGTGAAGGAAGAGAGAGGGATGCAGCTGTCAGTGGGGTGATATGAAATGCTGCTCCTCAGAGCAGAGGGGACCATGACGTGACCTGAATGAGCTCACTGCTCTTGCTGCCATAGAGGATCAATGACAGGGGTCCAGCAGGCACAGCTCAGACTCAGAGCTTACTAATGAAGGCCAGATCCAAAGCTCAAATGTGTGACGCTGCTAGGGACCAGTGCTCTCTCAAACTGTGAGACACACACTGCAGGGACTTGCCTAGACTGACCACACATAAAACTCCTTAAAAGTAAAAACATGATCTATTTAGATTTGTATTTACAGATGTTGTGAAAGAAATACCATTGGGTGTTTTGAATTTACTACACTAACTTATTGTACAGATGCATGATAAGGTGGCTTTTGCTTTCTAATAAATTTGTACACATTAGTGAACTGCATTATGTATAGTTAATATGAAAGGCGTATAGGTATGCATGGTTGTATAGTTCAGTGGTTCTCAAAGTGAGGGTCGGGACCCCCTGGGGGGGGTATTTTATTCATAACCCACAGAATATAATTAGTAGTTGCATTAAAGAAACAACAACATACACATAAAAAAAATCTGCCATCAGCCTTTGATTTTTATATTAAAATGTAATTAAATTAAGAAATGACTATTAAAAAAACATATGGTTAATAGACTGTCAGTTTTGTGTTGTCTATAAGCTCATGTTTATGTATGCCTATATTTGTGTCTGCATCATTTATATATTTACATTATAACCATTATAACCATCTTGAAAAATGGGGGTCGCGAGTACTGACATTATTATTTTGGTGGTCGCGGGCTGAAAGGTTTAGGAACTCCTGGTACAGTTACATGAATCATAAACATCGTCTTGGTTGATTTTAATTTCAAAACTTCCTAATACAATTTTTAGATCTATTTTTTATCTGCTAACTAAGTAATGCACTGCAATCTAAACTAAGATTAACAAAAGCTAATAAATGCTAATGACATATACTGTATCGTTCATTGTTAATTCACATCAGTTAAAATGTGCTAAGAAATGTGTTCTTGTGTTAAAAAGTATTGTTAATGCAACCACACCTGATGCTTCAATTATTTTTAAACTGAACTATTTTACTATTAACACATTTAGAGCTCAGATCCCACATGTTTTCCCATTCCCACCATGGACATCTTTTTTTCATCTGATCTTCTAATACTTTTTTTTGCTTCCTGTTTCCAGTAGTCTCCTTGGACTTATGCAAACTATCATGGATAAGGTGGAATGGACCTGTGTGCATATCCAATATAAGAAGCATTACTTCCAAATTCCCTTGGACATTGTAACCTGCATGTAACCCTACATCTTCAAAAACATCCGCTCATCTGTTTTTTGGCACTAAGAGAAATGTGTTCAATTACATAAAAAACTTGGAACACATAGTGGATCATTTTTAAGAGTGGCCAAAATGACAGAAAACTGTAATTACTTAACTGCGATAAGAACATAAACATGAATTTCCTCAAAGCATTGTTGGGAAACAAATATTTGGATGTAGCTAATAAATATTAAAATATTTGGAAGTAGCTAATATATATTCAGGTGTGCCTGTTTACATCAGAATAATTTAAACACAGGTTAACATACTCTTTTGAATTGCAGCTTTCTTAATATAGCATATAGCAATTTCCTTTATTGTTTTGGTGTCACTAAACAAGCTTATTGAGATAAAAGTGTAAATTCTAAAAGTGAATGGTTTGTTAATAACGAGAATTTTCTCACTGCATAAATATTGTCTCCACTAATTACTAAATACAGTTCTGACAGAATGAATGAATGGATTAAATAATATAGTTGACACAGTGGCTCAGTGTGGTTAAAAGTTAGCGGTTCATTCCGCTGTGGTGACCCCTGATGAATAAAAAGACTAACCTGAATGAAAATGAATGAATAATTCAACTAATTAATTAGTATTAATCTTTTCTGTTGCATTTATTTACATTAGAATTACTTTAAAACATGGTTAACCTGCAAAGTTCAGTTTTAAAAACCTTAACTCTAGCCTATGAACTAAAAAAAACTGCTGAGGCAAAATGCCAATATTATAGAAAATATAGCTGTGAAAAGTAAATACAGATTTTGTAATAGTATTTTGCATTTTGTTGTTGTTGCTTTTTTGTATTTGGGTTAGTTTGTAGTTATTGTAGTTTTGCAGACAATAACTAATGTGCGAGTTCTGCTGCAGCTGGCCACATGTTTGGGTGGGTGGGAAGATGCTTCAGGCAGGGGGTTGAAGGGGAGATCGGGTTGGTGAAATCACCTTGATTCAGTGCAGCGAACCTTTGATGTGCCTGAAGCTGACTTGGCTAGCCCTGAGCAAAGCATATGCCTTAAAAACTCAAATCCAGCTTGACGTACTGAAATCATAACCATATGCAAGAATTCCACCTTCAGAAAGACTGTGGCTCCACACAGCCCATGGACGAGGTATTATCCAGCGATAACAAAGAGCAGGTTAGATGACGGTGGGAGTCTGAGGAGGAGATGGAGGTAAAGGGATGGGACATGGGGAGGGGGGTGTCAGAAAGCATGTGGTGCATAAAAGGTTTGGTTAAGGATCAATTCCAAAATTTCTCAAGAGTGCTAGACTACCTAAAATGGAAGTTTCTCTGGAGTGATTAGAGGTAGTGCAAAGCAAAATGTGGAGCAGGAAAAAAATATGAGTGAGACTGAAATGTTTGAAGTAAACTGCCAGAAAATGTGTGCTGATTGTACCTTTCAGAACAGAGAGGTTTGCCTCATGTTTTCCTGATGCCACAACAAATCTATAAAGACCAAACTTTTTGAAAAGTATACAAACATTTGTAGGACATTATTGTGAACAATTGACTATGTATTAACAGTCAAAATTAAAAGCTGTTTTGTTTGAAATGGATTTTAATTATCACCAAAACAAGTGCAAATCTGTAAATACATGATATAAAGGAAAAATTGAATATATAATTTGATTCAGCAATACTTTTGAAAAGTTTTTCATTGTACATATGCTCGACCAAAACTAACTTACCGCACTGACGAGCTACTGTGTGATGTGTTTTTGTCTGTGTAATGACTGTCAGGCAGCTTGTGGTTGCTGTTTTCTGGGGTCTGGTACCTCCTCTCTTAATCAAATCATGTCGTTTGGCTAGAGGACATCCTTCATTAAATGTATCAGGAAGGGAGCATATTGTGCCTCACTGAAGCACGATGGGTTGTGCCCCCTACAAATTCCTTTGCGCTATGGAAGATGGGCCAAGCATACTGCACCCAGATGTCAGGTTTATTTGAATAAAATAGGCTCATTGTGTGGACACCCTGGTCTGTCCCTGAGGGAGAAAAGGGGGAGGCTGGGTAAATGAATGCTGTGGGGGGTTTCAGCACTGAAGGAAAGCGGAGAGACGAGGACGGGGCAAGGAAGGACTTCGCTTAGCTTAGCAGTTCCATCTGGCTCCCTGGAATCTATGTCAGAGTCAGAGAAACTGCTTCTCATAAAAGAGCTAAAGGAAGCCAGCGGAAGCTGAATGTTCTACAAGGACAAGAACATTACTGGGAATGTCGCTTAGCCTGGGGCGAATCCACAAGTTGGCTGCCATAGAACCTTCCTCCACTTTCCCTATACTCCTCCTCCTCACTCCCTTTTTCCAAAAGAACAAGAGACAGCCCAGACTGATCGGAATTCCATCTGTTGGGGAGCGGCCAAGTGACAGCGGAGAAATACAGGCATCTGGTCTCCATTTCTGTCAGGCTGGTGTTCCAGCTTACATCTTACAGCTGGGAGAGGATGAGGGAGAGGAGAGGGTGCTGGCAAGGGACTAGAAAGTGTGCTGGCACTCTCAGGCCTCTCGTCCATTTTTCACACATCACCCCACATCCTAACAGGAGATGTCCAAAAAGATGCACCCCACCCCCTCCCCCCATCGCAACACACACACAGACGCACACAAACACACACACACACACACACACACACACACACACACACACACACACACACACACACACACACACACACACACACACACACAAAAGCTCTCATCTGAACGACACAAGAAGAGAACACGGTTATCAGCAGTCAAGACTCGGACAACAGATCAGAACAAAAGCAAAAAGAACAAAGGATCATGTGAAGCCAGCAGGCTAAGACTTTGGCAGGCAGCACACTTTCAAACATGCACATGTGCATGTTCTTTTATTCCTATTTGTAAGTAAACTCCAAAATATTCTCTATTGATCATCATAGTCGCTCTATGAATCGCAGAGACTTTATTTATTAAATTAACCTTAAAACAAAATACTGCCTTATCGTTACTTTTTACATTCTCTAAATATGTGCAAGCACTATATTTAAAATGGTACATGTTTTATATTATTAGCACAAAATTGACAATACAATTTTTTTTTAAATAAAGAAAAACTGCTGTAAATAATAATATTGGGGTTTTACTGTTCATTTTATTATAGATGTAAAAATCATGTGTATATTCATATCTACATAGCCTTGCAATATTCTACTAGTATCAGCACTGCTCCAGCCTCTTCACCCGTAGATTTATCTTTTATTCTGCAGTCTACTAAAGATTTATCATCATTTTTGGTCAAATAAACATAAAACATTACAGTTTATGATAAGGTTTCAGGTGGTTGTTATTGCAGATAACAGGGCTGTCTGGAATAGTTGATTATGATTGGTCATTCGCAACAGCTAACAACTGCTGAAACTAATAACATAGGCTCATCCGGGTACCTGAAATTATCTTGACTGTCAGGGAATACGTTCACATCCATATACATACATCCAGATTCATATATCCTTGTCTGTCATGCCGCTTTTGACTGGATAATTTGTAGGTTTGTGTATGCATTATTAAGCAATTTTTCTGTCAACATTGCATTTTCTTTACTTTTTTTGCCATCTGGTGACTGAATAATACTCAGATTAATGTACTGTATGCTACATCACATCCATTCAGCTACATTTGTTTATGTCAGTTAAGCTTTTATTTAAATAATTAATAACTATATTCATAAAATGTTTTCTGTCTAATTCTTACGTTTTATGGCAATTAGCCATGTAAGCCAGTATGCCTGTCGGGCTTTATTCTGTAATAGCCTATTAATATTAGTTAATGTTTATATTAATACAATCTAATAAAGAACAGTACTTGTGCAGCATTTATTAGTTCAAAATTTACTAATGCATTATTGTTAACTAGTGAATGCACTGTGTGTTAGCATAAGCTTACAATGAATGATTTTATTTTCATTAAAAAACATTAAATTAAGGACAAAATACATCCATGAGGTTGTTATAGAAGAATCTCCTTGATGTATTTACAGTATCCCGCTTATTACACGGCTATCACAAACCTTGGAAATTAGTCTCAAAACATTGTTTTGAGCCCTAATAATTTATTAAATCTTTAATTAAATGCAAAGCGGACAAAAACAGCTCATGACAACTTGCACATTATTTAGTCACAGGATGGCACCAAATTGTCAAACGCTAGGCTGACTGAAATCAAACTGACTGAATAAAGCATAGACTGACATCCGTATAATTCATTTACAAGACCGCGCCAAAAAGTCAAAAACTGCGGCGTGAAAGACTTGCTGATAAATATGAATGTGGATGTTATATGGTTTTAAATATATATTTAATGACAGTGACTCAAAGTTTCTGAATAAGCTTGCTTTATTTAGTGGTTGTTATCTCGGGACAACCATGAAATCTGGCAACTGACCAATCAGAATCGAGTATTCCAGCCAGCCCTGTGTAATGATTAATCCCTATATAAATTTCCTTCTAAAGGCGCACGCACACACACACACAGGTTTGATTATTTATTTGGAGTAACTAATAATGAGTAAAACAACACAGCATTCGAACAATCAAGTATATAATCAAGTATATAATCAAGTATATTTTACAGTACATTATTAACAGTACTAAGGATAAAGATGACATCATCTTTTCCAAACATGCAAGCTTACTATTATTGCCGACACAGAGCTGTATTTGCCAATTAGTTTTAGGCTCTTTCTAGTAGTCAATCCGGCAATTTCTTGCACAAAGTCTATGAACAACAGGAGAGTGCTGTTGAAATCGTAATCTGATATTGTATTATCTGTCATTTTGTTAATGTGTGTGTTTATTCATTTTGCATTTGTGTTTATATGCATTTATTGTTAGATAAAATTATTTTATATTAAAAAATATAGTAATATTATTTATTTTATTAAGATATATTATAAGTGAACTATATTTTAAGATCAATGGCCATCTTTGGCCTTTCTAAAAAACATATTTCAGGGAATTTCAATTTACATGTGCAATAGGACTGCTGTACTTTAGTGAGATGAACAATATAATTATTTATATGAAATTATTAAAACACAGAGGAAAGACCTACACATATATGTTTCTCTCATATAACACAAAATTAAAGACATAACAAGAATTAGAGAAAGAGATAAATAGACTTAGAGAACATAAAGAAGAGAGAGAAATGCAACTGTATCTGATGTGCAGTGTGTCAACATTTCATGGCAAAATCACTGTTGTGTGTGTTTGTCAATGTGTGTGCGAGCGATCTAGCAGATGATAACTGCACCAGTGAAAAGTATGACAGGCAACGGGTTTGACTTCTGAGAGTGAGCGTTGTTGAATTATTATTGGTGACAGGTATGCTATCTAGGAGACAGCTCGACGGCAGACAGAAGGAAATGGAGAGAGCAAAGAGCAGAGGGGGATTATTCATAAACCACAAAGTTTAATAATGACCTATGAACTTTCTCAGTAAAGAACAGAACACATCACACTGTGGCACTGCCAGACACAAAATAGTCAAAACTGCAGCTGACTGATATTCTGTCACCCAAACATGACAAAATACTACGGTAAAAAAAAAAGTATTCCTAATTCAGTGTAATTTTAGGTGACTTAATTAAATGTGTTAATATTACAAGAAATGACATCTGCTCTACAAAAGTATACACAAACACAGTAGTGCACACATGCATTCATAAACCCTCACTCTGTGCATTTTCTTGTTCTCATTCTTCCTCTCTTCCACACCTCTTTTTTTCTCTTTTTTGCATTAAATATTTATGAGATTAGAATTAAGATTCCTGTGCACATGCTCCTGCTGGCACCTTCCGTGGGTTGTGACATCTTGTGTCAAGGCTCTGATTAACAATGTTCAACACTCTGCTTCTAGACTGACAGACAGATGAGGTCGAGAGGAGAGCGGGCAGGTAAATAACAAGAAAACAATTCCAAAAAGAAGAGGAGACACAGAACAGACAGTTTGGGAATGAGAGAGAGGCAGAGAGAGGGGGAGGAGAACATTCATTAGTGTGGTTGCAAGAGCTCAAGTGTTTTTTTCTTTGTCAGTCCTGAATCAGACGTTTACCTGCACTTTGTATAGAATAGATGCTGGGAAGTACAAAACATATTTGCCCAATAGCAGCTTTTGTTGGTATACTTTACAATAATTATAATAATAAACCATAGGCAAAGCATTAAACTGACTTACTGCATAATTTATTCATACTTGTAAATGTTAATCAGACTGAAATGCAGGTTTTGTATAATGTTACAAATATTATGAAATGTAATCATTTATTTGACTGTAATAAACTTTATACAGTTATTTATTAGGGCAGATGAGCTGGACATCATGGTTTAACAGCTATCTTGCACATACTAAGGGCAGTGTTTAGTCTAGTACTATTATGAGATCAGTATCAGATACCAACTCAGTTGTTTTTTAAGTTTATTTTCTTATATGTTTGCTAACTAAAACCTAATATTCGGAACATTATTAAACATGATAATTAAGTGTCTTGATTGGAAACCCATAAAAAGTTTTTTAATTAAAAAATTGCTGAATATATCAAATAGAGTAGTTAGTATTTTGCCATGTCGTTTTTAATGTCTGGGGGTTTTTCAAATAAGCCATCAGGGGTAGAGCAATGAGAAACACAAACAGACACCACAAATGACTGTTGAACAGTAAAAAAATACAGCCTTTCACAATTCCTTCCAGTCAAATGATGAGAGAAAAAGTGTGCGAGAGGGAGAGATTTACTCACAGAAGCCATTTCCTTGTACAAGGCCTCAAAACCGCCTTCAAGCTCAGCATGCTGTTCCACTTAGGCATGGTCTCCAAACCAAAGCCATCCACCTCGCTCTGCTATTGGCGTTGGACACACAAGGCTAACCACAAGCACATGTTCAGTTGCTCTTAACTAATTCATACAGGAACACTTTGGTTTTGTTGAGAACCCAAAAGCCCTGTACCTTTGATTAAGAAATGTGTCTGATTCCAATTAAAGAGCAAGAGGTGTGGGAAAACATCTTGGTGGTTCTAGTCAGTAACTGGCTTCAGTCGTGATGGTTCTATTTTCTTGCACTTTTATTTATTAACTTTTCATATCTTTTCTATTGTCCCTGGCAGAATAATAGGAAACCTTTTAGAAAATCCATTGCTTCATTGTATTGTTTACCTCACAATATATGAAGGGCACGCCTTTTTTGTGTTTTTATGATATCAGTTATGTTGTGAATAGAATCATGTTTTAGTTTTTAATTTACCTGTAATATGTAGCCTCTAACGTAGTCTCTCAGAGTCCAGCCCAAGCCATGAAGAATGTGTAGAACCTCTTCCTGTTTAAGGACACTGAACAGACGGTCCAGTAGGATCTTCAATCTCACAGGTACTGCCTGAGTCCCATACAGCATCAGACTGCTAATGTCAAACACCACATTGGACTGCACGATCTCCACCTGCGTCGGGTGGTACAAATGCTGTGTGCTCAGCTTGTCTAGTGCTATAATCACAAAAACAAGAACACACACAATTAGAGACTACATAAAAACCCATAAAGATTTATCATAAAGAATTTCATATTCATTATTCAATTTATAATGGCTTATGGATATGGCATATATATATATATATATTCATTCATTCATTCATTCATTCATTTTCTTGTCGGCTTAGTCCCTTTATTAATTTGGGGTCGCCACAGTGGAATGAACCGCCAACTTATCCAGCAAGTTTTTACGCAGAAGATGCCTTTCCAGCCTTTACAGACACTTCGGACAATTTAGCCTACCCAATTCACCTGTACCGCATGTCTTTGGACTGTGGGGGAAACCAGAGTACCCGGAGGAAACCCACGCAAATGCAGGGAGAACATGCAAACTCCACACAGAAATGCCAACTGAGCCAAGGATCGAACCAGCGACCCAGCTACCTTCTTGCTGTGAAGCAAATGTGCTACTCACTGCGCCACTGCGTCGCCTATATATATATATATATATATAAATAATATTTGACTAGATATTTTTTCAAAACACTTCTATACAGCTTAAAGTGACTTTTAAAGGCTTAACTAGGATAAGTAGGTTAACTAGGCAGGTCAGGGTAATTTGTCAAGTTATTGTATAACAATGGTTTGTTCTGTAGACTATCGAAAAAAAAATATTGCTTTAAGGGGCTGATTATTTTGACCTTAAAATCGATTAAAAAAAATTAAGAACTGCTTTTACTCTAGCCAAAATAAAACAAATACGATTTTCTCCAGAGGAAAAATATATTATTAGAGATACATTCAAAATTTCCCCGCTCTGGTAAACGTCATTTGGAAAATATTTAAAAAACAAAACAAAAAAATTTGAAAAAAAGGGGAGCTAAAAATTCTGACTTCAACTATATATACATACACACACACACACACACACACACACACACATATATATATATATATATATATATATATATATATATATATATATATGATTTGGCATATGATGAGACTGAAATAGCCTACTCCAAAATATTTTCCCATATTTACTTAATTTAAAATTTATCATTTGAGTTTATGTATGCATGTATGTGTAGATACATATTGTACTGTATGAACACTTCACCATTTAAATATTTATTCATGTTTTACTGGAAGAACATTTACATGTGTAATATTATTTAGGTGTGTTAATAACTTTCATAACTTTTTTTGCCCACATTTTCAAAACTTTTCCTCTTTTTTTCAAAACTTGAAACCCTCTGATTTTGCAAAATGAAGCATTGCATTTAAAATATAACAAAACACATCTCAAATTGCAAACACCTAAGCCATAACTTTTTTTGATATATCATACACACATATTCATAACAAAGTATTTCTTGTGCTACTAAATGTACACGATATGTTTTCACGATATAGAGTCATAGACAGAGAAAGCAAGCAAAAGCAAGATTAAATCCAAACTACTTATTTATTTTAGTTATCATTACAGTTTTTCCTCATCGTAACAAGCATTGTGCAATACTGAAGTATCATTTTCAAAACGCTTCACACTGTGTGCATTGCCAAATGATGCTAAACTGCAGTTCAGCTTGCCTACAAAAGTCTCTCAAACCAGCACAACAGTTCATGTACACTTCAAAATAAGTTTGTTACACCATACCACTGACAACAATTCTCAAATTGTTCAAAAAACATACATTCCATTCATAACACAATTACCTAAAACACTAACAACAGGCAGCATTGCAGACTTTTTTTACAGAAACCTCTATTTTTGAAGTTTGAATGATTTTTTTTTATCTACACCAGTATATAATTTTACATTATTTACATTACATATTGGTTAAAATGTGTGATGAGAATAAAAAAATACTTGTGTTGCAAATGTAGTAGGCCTACTTTACAGCACAAGTGAAAACAACCACAGTTCCAATATTTAGAAACATTTACCAAACTGCAAGTTAAAGAGGCAAGCTTTGGTTGGTACATGTAGAAATTTAGATATTGATTGTATTGAGCTTATAAAATGACAAACACTTTGTCCTCCACGTACTCCTGCTTTCACTAATTATTAATCACCATTTATCACTCTTCTTTGCCTACTAACCTGTATTCCCAACAAAACTTTCCAAGGTATAGCTCTTTACAAAAAAAAAAATCCTTTCTAATAAAAAAAGGCATGCAATTTACAATCATTCTGTTTTGAAAAAGTTTTTAACAATTTTTAAGCAGGTATGTTAGCATTTGAAAAATTTATAGTTTTTGCAACTTGTAGAGACAAAACTGTTTGGTAATTTTATTGCATGAATTTTGTTTGAAATCAACAAAAGTGATTCACAGTTTGCCCCACATAGACTCCCGTTTGGCTGATTCAGTACTGCACAATGCTTTTTAATAGTATTATTATTGGTGGTTTATTCTGACCCCTGATAAATCAGGAACTAAGCATAAGAATAGTAAGAGATTTTTTTTAATGTACAGTATTTATTTTTGTGAATATAGTAATGCACAGTATAAAAAAAAAAATCATATTCTCATGTTTGCACATGTGACCAGTGATGGTGAGCCACTGACGAGTTAGAGTTTGAAAAAGGACATCAATATGCTTAAAGTTTTTTATGTGTTACATAGAGAACTGTGTGTTATGTGTTACAAAGGGTGTTTTTTGAACAGTCAAAGGCTGATAGCTAGCATAAGGTCTGTTGTTTGAGTGTCAGGTTTTTTAAATTGTGTGTAAAGATTGTGTGTGTAAACAGATGACAATACTATAATAATAATAATAATAATAATAATAATAATAATAATAATATAGTTTGGCTTCAGTTTCACTTTTGTGATTTCAGTAAATTTTGTTTCAGCATCTCTCTGTATATTATTTTTAATCTTATACAAATATGTACATAGCTGAAGAAAGAAGAGTTATTTTATATAGATTGTATGATATATTTAAAAATATAAAGTGATGACAATGATGCTTGCTATGTAAGACAATGGGTGCTTTTGGGATGCTTTAGTGATGTTCTAAAGTGCTTCCTTCTGCAAGAATTTTTAATATGTTTTTTTTTTTTTGTTGTGGTTAATAGTTGTTGAAACCAAATTATTTATTTATTACTAGTCACAGTAGTGCATGTGGTTATGATCAAAGGGTAATGAAATAACTCTTTTATTTTAACTTAGCTCAAACACAAAGCTGGTAAGCACCCATAGTTGAAGTCAAAATTATTATCCATCCTGTTATATTCTTTTAAAATTATCTCTCAAGCATTGTCTAATGAAGAGGAGTTTTTTCAACACATTATTAAACATAATAGTTTTAATAACTCATTTCTTTTGTCTTTGCACTGATTATAGTACATGGTATTGCAACATATTTTTGAAGATACTAGTATTCAGCTTAAAGTGCAGTTATAGGCATAACTAGGTTATTATTTTAACTACGCAAGTTAAAATAATTAGAAAAGTTATTGAATAAGAGGCTTGTCCTGTAGACAATCAGGGTAAATGGAGATAACAGTGGCCCTTCACCAAAAGGAAGGAATACTGTAAAATTGCCTTGCTCTGTTAACCATCACTTAGGGAAAGTTTACAAAACGAATAAAACATTCACAGTGATGCGGTGGTGCAGTGGTTTGCACATTTGCCTCACAGCAAGAAGGTTGCTGGTTCTTGGCTGGGTAAGTTGCCATTTTTGTATGGAGTTAGCATGTTCTCCCCGTGTTTGCGTGCAGTTTCCTCTGGGTGCTCCGGTTTATATGGTGTTTTCCCATTTGTCCATAGTGTATGAGTGTGAATGAGTGTGTGTGGATGTTTCCCAGTGATGTGTTGCGGCTAGAAGGGCATCCACTGCATAAAACATATGCTGGATAAGGTGGTGGTTCATTCAGTTGTGGCAACTCCGGATTAACAAAAGAACTATGCCAAAAAGAAAATGATGAATGAATAAAACATTCACATGAGGGCTAATATTTTCTGTGTGAATGTTAAAAAACAAAACAAACAAAAAAACAACACTCCTGCAGACCGCAACACCTCTGTGAAGAAAGGACAGTGGGATCAAACCAATCGACTCCTCTTTCAACTCTCTCTCTCGTGCTGTCTGACTCCGTGTGACACCTGTTTTTTTTTTACTCCTTTAGTACAGGACTGATTTTTGTGCTGACTAGCTCTTTGCCTGAAAACAGACCTTGCTAGACACGAACATAATAAAAAATGAAGAACTACTTGTCAGAATGGCTGCCAACACTACAGACAAAATGAGAAGTCTATGGCAGAGAGGAGTGAAAAGAAGAGGAGGAGAGGAAAGATAGTGGCTGACAGTTCACAGTGAAATTAAAACTAGGCGAAGGGCCCCTGTGATGGTCCCTTTAGGCCTGTCTCTCTTCCTTTCATCCCAACCCAACAGGTGTTTTCTTTTGTCTCTCTATGAAACCAACTGTCTATTTCTTACTCTGTCTTTTCTTTTTTAACTCTATCCCTTTTGACTGTCGTCTTTTTCATTTGATGTTTTCACTAGCACTTCAGCTACTTTTTGGCCTTTCTATGCCTTTTTATTTTTAATATAATTAAATATGAGGGGAAATAATTTTAATAGAATTATAAGTAAAGAGGCAGTTTAATGAAGAGTGATTGTTTAGCTAGTGATTGTTTAGAAACAGATAAATGGACAGATAAAGAGGGTAAGCCCATGACCCTCACATTTCATTGTATACTGAGCCACTTCAGGTTGACACTAAAGGCAAGACTACACTTTAAACTAAAAACAAACAAGTGAAATATAATTTATAAATAAATATGCAGGTGGTATATGTAGGTTTTTGGTGAAGGTTTATTCATCTAAAATATACCGATTAAATTATTTTACAGTTTTTCTCCATTGCTGAAATACATAGCTTGAAGTGATGCCCCTTTTCTGAAAAGTTTTGAACTTTAGATTCTGTTGTATTTCATATTGTGGAACACAATTCAATCTTCAAAAATACAAACATCACTTACAAAAAATACTACTAAAACTGGTACGTTGTGTTGCTGATTACGTTACAGTAACTTGCAGACATAAATTTTTAGACAATCTGATACATTTTCTTTTTATACAATAGCCTACATGTATACATGCCTTAGGCCCCATTTACAATAGGTTTTAGTTTTAAAATGCATAAGTTTTGCTATGGTTATGCCTTCCGTCTACATTATCCTGGAGTTTTTGAGACCTTAAAACAGAGACTTTTGTGAGGCTGGCAACATTGGCTCCCTGATTGGGGCTTTTTCTCAATATAAAGTACACAATGTTAAAACTTTTCAAGTTTATAGGGGAAACGAAAGCCAGAGGATGCCACACATTGGGCACATTTTCAAATGTAAGGGGTGTGCACTTTTATAACGTCTTTCACATCACCCTGGCTACGTTTCATCTTAACAATCTTAACAATAATAATGAATACTGTCTATTTTAATTTTGATATTAACTTAAACATAACAAACACTAAAAATGTTAAGCCCTATATATTTATATAACCATGATCTTCACTGTATGCAAATTTATTTTTTAAAAAAAATGGAGCCTAATAGTTAACATAACAGTTTCATTTTCATTGAAAATTATGGAACATTAGGCTTACTGTGGTTTTGGCAATACAAAATGATTATAAGAGAAAATGCATGGTGAAGCTATAAGAATAGCAATCTCTTCTTATCAGTTTTAATAATCAGTAATGGGCATTATAATAGTATAAAGTACAACTTTCAGGCCTATGGGAAATAAAGGTAAGTAATCAGTTTCACCTGAGAACAAGTAAGTAAATAGATTCAAAAGACAGGGTCATTAGATATACACAAGATAATTTTTAGATCACGTTTAACAACTATAAGGATATGAGATCCAGCAGCAGATTTTGGATGGACTGACCAATAAACGCTGCTCTCACCTGGGGAGGTGCCCGCAAATCTTCCACTTACTGCCTGGAGCTCAGATGGCCAAATACATGAGGACGCTGAAGCAAATTTCAGCGCATGTCAGAGTGTGGGTATGGTCATGTGATGTACGTTTAGTGTGGACGGAGAGCTTTTCAGAAACGCTAGAAATGCCAGTGTAGACTGGAGTGTGGAACGCCATTTTAAACTAAAACGCATCAGTGAAAACGGGGTCTTACAGTGGAGTACTGGAGAACTTCATTACTCATTCTTACCTTATTCATGAACAAGAACTACAGTTGAAGTCAGAATTATTTGTCCCCCTTTGAATTATTTTTTTTTTCTTTTTTTAAATATTTTCCAAATGGTGTTTAACAGAGCAAGGTAATTTTCACAGTATGTCTGATAAAAAAAAAAATTTCTTTTTGAGAAAGTCTTATTTGTTTTATTTTGGCTAAAATAAAAATAAAAACTTTATTTTTTAAAAACATTTTAAGGTCAAAATGATTAGCCCCTTTAAGCTATATTTTTATTCGATAGTCTAAAGAACAAACCATTGTTATACAATAACTTGCTTAGTTAAACTAAGTAACCTAATTAAGCCTTTAAATGTAACTATAAGCTGTATAGATGTGTCTTGAAAAATATCTAGTAAAATATTATTTACTGTCATGATGGCAAAGATAAAAGAAATCAGTTATTAGAGATGAGATACTAAAACTATTATGTTTAGAAATGTGTTGGAAAAAAAATCTTCTCTTCGATAAACAGAAATTGGGGAAAAAATAAACAGCGAGGCCTTAAATTCAGGGGGCTAATAATTTTGACTTCACAAGCTACAACTTGAACATCAGCTGCCACCTTGCAAACCTGCTGATAAGTGCAGCACAATTACTTGAAAACTTCAGTGTACCAAAAAGCACTGAATCTGTTCAGAAAAACATAAAGAGTGCAGTGTGTCACCAATTCTTGAAGCTAAAATAAATGATATAGGCTCTTTCTTATATTTGCTGAAAGTCCTGATTGATGAGTGTGATCTATTTTGACTCATAGTGTCCTATCATACACCTGACACAATATGTTGCAAGGCATGTAGGGCATGATTAGTTGTTGTTTTTTTGTTTTTGTTTTTTTATTTGCTGTTAGAACTAATTTTCACGTTTTCCACTGTGTTGTCTCAATAGCAAATCCATTTGTGTCATTTCGTGGACTTTCACAATATTAAAAAAAATATAAAAATTTAATAGCATCACAATGAAAGTGCACTCTCCAAAAAACACATAATATTTTATTCTTAAGAACATTTTATTTAATTATAGTCATTTTAAAAACTGAATAATTAGGCATTGGAATCAGAATGTGAAAATCCTAAATCCCATATCCTAAATAATAATAAATGTTAACAAATCACCACCTTCAAATTATAAAGTTCTGTCAGACAATTTTGTCAATATTGAGTTTTTCACATATTCTTAATAAATAACAGCTTATTTTCATACAGTATATATTCACTTATATTGCTCATTGCCCTTTTTCTTTTAAAAATTGACATTAAGCCTTGAAGTGCAAATGCTTAATTTAATTCATGGGGCATGTAATTCAATAAATATAATTCAATAATTCATATAAAGAATATAATTTAATAAAGATTACCATATTAATAACATAAAATTAACATCTGCACTGGACAAAATTTTAAGCACAGCCTTGTATACTTAATTTGAACAAGAAAAATATTCATCCTAAAACATTAAATGAATATTATAAAAAGTAAAAACTTTTGCAAACATCAACATATTGTTACAACACCATTTTTTTTCCCAATTAAATTAATAAGCAGACCGATTGTATTTCTTGAAAAGCTATGCTTCAGAACATTTAGTGGAATCTGTCATGTTAATGTATGAAAGAGAACTATTACACGCATATTGTTTGCTATGTGGAATGCAAAAAATTTTTAAGCTCAATTTCTTAAAATCATTTAGAATGCAGATGGAACCTTTTAATTCCAAAGAGACATATTAGGGCAAGGTAAAAAGTAACCGAGGCTGTATTTTCTGGTACCAGATCTATATTTAATTCTCGGATACCCACATAAAATAATTCCAATATAGGGAGATGTTGCATAATCAGCTAAAACATTGCTAGAACTGGTTTTTATGTATGGGTGATATATTATGCATGACCAAAACTAATTGAGGTCATGTCCAAGTGTTATTGTGACAGGCCTACTGGGTGTGCTGGTCTGAAAATGAGGTGTGTTAAGGTTCATTGTTGGCACGTTGACAATTTGAGGCAACTGAAATAGACCACGCAATTAACCAACTAAAAGCTGGTCTAAAGTCAATGGCGCAGAGTTTTTGTAATTTAAAGAGTGTGTTGGTTAGGCACCTTTGCGAGGGCCCAAAACACACATACACATTGCTCGATACACACGTACAGCAATACACAAATATCTTCATCTATGAAAACAATTAAAGGTTTAAAATGTTTTTAAAAATTTTTTTTTTCTATTTTCTACATAAATATGAAAACCACTACCTCCTTGCCTTCTTCACCTCGGGAGGCTTTGTAATTCAATTCTGTTGTAGTATTCATGACAATTTGCATTTGTATAATGTTATTATTAATAGTAGTATATATTATATGCAAATTTATATTCGTTTTAATAAAAACAAGCTTAGATTTGTCCACCTATCAGGTTTTGGAGATGTATGCACAACCATATGGAGCATAGGAAAAGGAATTGTATTTGAACATAGTTAAGAAAAAGTTTTAAAAGAAACCTTTAGGCTACACAAAGAAAGTTACTAAATTAGGCTAACAATGTCTTCAGTGGAGTGAGTTTCCACTGTTTCCTTACTCCACGAAAGTAAAGAAGAGTAAAGTAAAGAGTAAAAGTAAAGCAAAGGGAAAGTAAAGAGACCAAACAGAGGAGGCTCGTTCTTATCTTTGCGCTGCAGATGGTCTGTTTAACTGTTTTCTCATTGGTGAAGCATTCAGTTAATTTGCAATGTCCGCCATGTAAACAACAAATGTGCCATTGCATGACACACTGCCATTTAAAGGGAATAGGAGATGAGACTCTGGTTGGTTTACTGCACATTATGCTAAAAACACACCCATAACTCATAGGAGAAAGAGCACAACCATGTTAGACCATGCACCAGGGTGCAGACCATTTTTTTCCCATCCTTAAAATAGCAAAAATCGATTCGGACACACCCTTAATGATTTTGCACCTTGCGCTTTAGACTTTGCACTTAAATCGATAAAATAGAGCTCCTAGTGTTTTCACTTTGAACTGGTCAGTTAATTGAGTTCAAACTGGGCTGACTTAAGAGAATATTTTGTTTTTCTAAATGCCCAAACCTCGCAGAGAGACATGCAGGGATTTGTGTGTAGCGTTTTGCAGAAATTGTTCTGAATAATCTGACTCACGTGTCAAAGCGGGGAATAATGTTAATACATTAGAGAAGTGGGTGTGCTTTTTGAAAAACTTCATTTGAAATTTTAGTTTAAAAGTCTGCTTACAGTGTTTAAGCAAGCGAGAAATACTGTACTATTTTTCTGGCATACATTATTCACACGTATATATTTGTATAAACATCTGTATGCAATAAGACCAGGCTAGTTTTATACTGATACACTGACTAATACTCACCATGCGCTACCCATCCATGCTTGCACTGGTCACATGTCCGCAGGTGGATTTTGCCAGGCTGGAAACACTCACATGTGCAGTTTACCAGAGTACAGCGGATGGC